GGTTTTGATTATTCCACTACATTCAAATCGGGTGGGTTTTGGCGAGTTAGGATTTGCAGCCTTGATGCAATGTTTTCTCCGATGATGAAGCACTTGATACAATGGTTGAAAAAGCACAATAGTGTGATTACATTCCCAGGTCACTTCAAAATCAGAATCTGCAATATGTTACATAGATAGCAGTGATAATTATTCAATCTGCAATATCTTAGAATAATATCAATGACACGTTTGTTTGATGCATTTTAAGTTTATAAATTGAGGAAAGTTTTTTCTTTTTATACAAATGAAAAATAGATACTTAATTTGGTTATTTTGAATCAGGTTCTGTTGTTGAATACTTGGAGAATGCCCTTGGTAAGTTTGATTGATGATGGTAATGCTTTTTTTAATCATTTTTGAACATGCTTCTTAAAATATGGGAAACTGAAAAGTGTTCAAACATAATAGAATCACTTGATTTGATTAGCACTTGATTTGAGCATATGATTGAATGTGCTAATCGAATTAATTTTACCTAAAGTTATTTGTATTTGTCATTTCAATAGCAAATGTTGGTCCGGTGCAAGATAAGAACTTATTGAAAATAAAAATGTCATTTGGACTTGAAATATAGATAATGCATAGGACAAAGGCTCATTCTTTATAGGACCTTTTTATTTTCAATAACAAATTTATGACTTTAGAAACCAGTATGCAATTTCAATTGTGGTAGAAAAGTCCATGTTAAGGGCATCAAAGTTAGGGAAATCAATGTCATATATGTTAGACTCTGTTGCAGATATCTCATTAGCCAATGATTTGTCAGAATCCAACCTTTGAGGCATATCAGAGGAATCAAAGTTCAACTCGGACATTATTGCTACTTTCATGGAGGTTCTGGTACTTTTCATTCTCAAATCACAAAATGGTTGGTATTTCGTAACTTCGGTTACATTTCATTATGTTCTTTTTATTTTGGCTAAGTGCATTTTTTTTCTTTGTTCAGGACGTACAAGTGAATTTGACGGTTTCAACCTTAAATGCTAAGGTATTTGTATTAGACCTGAATTAATTTTGTAATTTTAAAAGTATCTGGCGTCGACACAGCCCTCGCGAATCATCCGTTCACGTAGCTAAGACTTTATTTGCAGGAATCAGATCTGCAATTAATTTACTTTTTTCATTATATTAATTGAATAAAATTTGAACAGGTGAATGGATTTTCAAGGTATGCTGATTGGTTTTGGAATAGTATACTGAAACTTTGGTTCTTAAGTTTTTGTAGGTACATGGCATAGCGATTGGTTTAGCATTTTTCTCTTCTGTTTGTGTATAACCGGGAACCAAGTTGGGAACAATGTCTATACAACCAACATGTGTTGTCTGTTGTGCATTTGTTTTTTATATCATTATCATTATAACACATTCCTGATACTTTATTAAAAATAATTAAACTTTTAATTTTACGGATCCTTACCACCATAATACTTAGTTTTTTTGAATTGATCAAACCTTATCAAAAGAAAGATATGAATGAATTTATTTGTGCAGATGCACGAGTCACTATCACTATAATACTTATTTTTTTGAAGTGATCAATTTTTATCAAATGATCAAAGATATAAATGAAGGCAGCCCGTACGGATGCTTGGCTCTTCTACTAATTAAAAATATCTCATCTGTTATAGTCTCCAAATAGGATAAAACAAAAAATGAAAGACAATAAAATGATATTCCATTGCACTTCGTACTACCATTTATCCAAATATTTAGGGAAATGTTTTTTCCACCCTTATGGGTGCTCTTACACCATTGTGAGAAGTTTATAATATTCCTAGCATCCAAATATGTATTTTTGAACGCACATATTTTCACTATTTTTTAGACCAAATTGAAAAAAACATATTTTTTAAGTAACATTTAATCTGGAGATGAATCTTTGTATGTATTAAAAATGTCATAAGACAAATCTTTGTAAACACCATTTATTCAAAAAAAATATGTTGGTGGGTCAAAGATTTATTTCCAAACACTTTTCTTTCATAACCCGTGTTGAAACCTTTCCCTTTTCCTCCTTCTCCATTTTCTAAAAAGCTTCCAAAGAAATAAAATTTCACCTCTCCCAATCATTGCATTGAAGCATCAATGAAGTTTTTTCTCCTCTGTTGTGTCATCTCATAAAATCAAAACATCTCTCCTTATAAATCAATTTCATTTTAGTAAGTTTTTCAAATTTTCATTTCTATGTTTTTATTTGTAGTTAGTTTTATGATATATTAGTTGTTTTAGGAATTTTAGGTAGTAGTGTCAACAAACTTGGTATGATAAAACAACAAGCAATGAGATTTTTTGGACCTGTTAGAGTAGAAAAGACATATATTATTCCATGGTTAAGACAATCATAGGTTTCTAAGGTGATGCATCTCTAGATTTGGTCTACATTGTTTTCAGAGATGCATCTCTGAATTAAATTAAGTCAACAAATTTGGTGATTTTGTGAATTTCTCTGGATATGCTGTTTATATTTGTCTCTGTTAATAATGTAGGTTCAATGAATGAAGACAACATTGGTCGATTTAGGCTCGGACGTGTGTTTCAAATCGTGTCGGTACGATGTGAGAGAGCCGCATCGGGGTCCACAAATCCACGTGTTACTGATAACTCGTTTGATCTTGCATCAATTTTGTAGTCTCAACCATCTGGTTCTCATAGTCGACTCTCTCAGACAACTCAGGCATATGATGCAGCAGCGCACGAGGATCCTAAGGTCCCTATTGACCTTGAAGCCCAATAAGAAACCGACCAAGATACCCCATTATAGAGTTATTCAGGAGGGCCATATGACACCTCCTTATTTTATAATTATGTAGAGCATGTTTCTAGGCATGTCCGAAATGGAGAGATATATTTCTTTTCTTTTGCAATACATATACATATGTAAACTAATTAAATCCATATTGATGCTTATGTTTTCTTTTTACACGAGGGCAATTGTTTGAAATCAATTAACCACGACATGAAGATACTGGTGTTGCCATAACCTGCTGATAGTTGGTTCGGTGACGTTATATGGTATTTCAATTTTGTCGATTTATGTTCATCTACGTACTTGACCATAAACCACAACATGCATGCGACTTTTGTTGAGAGGTAGCACTGAGATAAATCATCTTTCCACCTACCTATAAGCGAGATTACCATCACTTTGGATGACATCTCATGCCTACTGCATCTTTCCATCCGGGAGAGATTATTGGACCACGGGTTGATCAGGCGAGAGGAAGATGTCGATTTGATGGTCAAATTATTAGGGGCTGACAGGGTAGAGCGTTGGAGGAGGAAACTCACACTATATGTGCTCGTGCACGATTTAGCTTTTTGGAAAAGCTTTATAATGATCATGTGAATGGGTCTAAGGATGCCGATGGTGATGATGTGCAGGTTGAATACCATCAATATTGCACTTTGAGGTGTTACCTATTGTTCTTGGTTGACACGTCCAAAACATGTGGACAAAAGTGCTACATATGTCGATGTGGTCTACCTCAAGTATTTCACATACCTGACTATAATTCATGAGTACAATTGGGGGTCTCCTATTTGATATAATTGTACTCGAAGTTGAGCGAGGGTTGTCTTTGGAAGATAAAGCAGTTAAAGAAGTGTTGCATGCTGCTTACAGTAATGTCTTGTTACTAAATATTGTCATAATTCATTTGTTACACTTTTTACAAATAATTTCATCCCAACCATTTTCAGGGATGAACCATCTCTCACTTTCCTTCTGCCCATACGAGGGTCACCGCCAGACACGTCCCTTTGATGTTATCTTCTTATACTTCAGATGACTGACACGTGAGTCATCTCTTATGTATCCTTATCTACCAGAGAGAGTGATGCGTCAAAGTGGCTACTTGAAGATCATTATGAGACCTCACTATGAGACTGCTTCTCCCAGCATCCTCCGTAGATATCTACAAACAATACTGGATGATTTTAAGAGTCACATGGTATTAGAGGAGTATCGTTGGAAGCCTGCTCATGTACACTAAGCTTATGCTGAGGGCTATATGGCATGATTCTACAGGGTGTCACATCTTATCATGACGCCCGACGCTCTTGGAGAACCACTTAAGGCAGCTAATCAAGAGGTACTTGAGGTTCGAGATGAGCAAGCAAAGAGCGTGACAATGGTATGTTGGCGTGTTACATAGATGGGTAGAGGAGCCATAAAGACAAGACTATTTGAGGATGATTCTTCCTAGTTGACTCTCGTGGAGATCATGTTTGTCGAGTTACGAAATATTGTGCAATATAGGTGGCGGAGGAGGCAGGCAGTTAGACATATCCAATAGTTTATATTTGAATGTATTGTTATTATTATTTTTTATTTTCGGATTTATGTATGCGCTATCTTGACTTTTTTTGTTTATGTATGGATTTTTACCCTCCTTCATCTTTAATATAACTTCATTTTACTTTGATTTTACCTTAATATAAGTTAATATAAGTTGACATCACAAAACTCGAATGTATGGATAATGATGTTGTTCTGATGTTAATCATGAAGGATTCTGAAGATATATCTCCGAAATAGTTCACATTTGTATTTACCACACTTTCAGAAACTTCCAGAGAACATTACAAATATGCATTTCCGAATATATCAAATACTTATATGGAGATGTATCTTCAGACTTAAAAAAAAAAAGATATATCTCCTAATAACACATTTTAATTATGATTTGAGTGCATCGAAAAATACATTTCTAAGTATCTTTAAAGAGTGTGAAATGTTTAGGTCCTATTGAACAATCAGAAGAAAATCCTCACACCCCGGTATTAGTATTTTGGGCGACATATGACCGTTACATACAAACAAATAGAGTATAGTCAATTAATTTTGTTTTTCTCCTTCCCAAAACACTTTCATCTTTCATTTCACCCACACTCTACGTGATTGGAGCAGATTATGAAATTTGATCAAAACCTAAATCTCAAACTCAACGAGCTATACAATGACAGTTTCAACTCGATCTAACTCAAAACCACTACATCAAGGTTTAAAGGAGAAACTGAAAGCCCTGACTCTCTTGTACGAGCAGCAGAAATTCAACAACGCTTCTTTCAAGCCTCCACAAGAAGACAATCATATAGAAACCCTAAAGAATAATGCTGTGGTTCGGGAGAAAAATGGGAACAGGATAATGGTGTTTGTGAGAGTGAGGCCACTTGCTAAGAAGGAAAAGGAAGCGGGTTCCAGGTGTTGTGTCAAGATTGTGAATTCTTCTCATATTTATATGACGGAATTCGCTACTCCTAACGATTACTTGAGGTTGAAGAGGATTCGAGGAGGTCATTTCACTTTTGATGCATGCTTTTCTGATTCGGCTACTCAACAGGAAGTGTATTCTACATCGTGAGTTAACATCATTCATAGTTCCTCTAATTTCGTCTCTCTTGCAAACATAGTATAACATTATGATTATCCTATTAAATGTATGTCATGTTTGATTTTTCAAATTCAGGGCTTTCATATGGAAATATATTTTAATTCAGTGATTTGGGAAAATATCAAAATAATTTGACATATGACCTAAAAATGTGTTTATATAAGTGTTGTGTAGTCATCACCTTAGCCAATTTTATAAAGGTCGAGTTAGACCCGACCCAAAATTTAAGATAGTATTGAAGTCATTTGTTGGGTCACTAGGGCCGCAAACAAGATATTGAATTATGGGCGCGAGAGTGTGTGTTAAGGGTCCCATATCAAATGAGACGTGACTTGAGAGTGTGTATAAGGGTAGTCTTCACCTTATCAGTTTAGTTGGGTCACTCGGGCCGCAAACAAGATATTCAATTATGGGCGTGAGAGTTAATAGAGTAATCATATAGCTGTTTGTTTATAATAGTTAATTGTAGTTTGTTATAGATATATTCTACAGCCTCTATATAACAATCTAATTGTAACAAACTCATCTAAGAGAGTTTCTATTGAATCAATAACAAAACTATTATTCTCTCTTTATGTTCAGTTTATCTTTCTCTATTATGATATCATGAGCTTATGATCCATGGCGTCTCATGTAAATTCACCGTCCGCTTCAAACGATGAAAACTCATCGTTGCAACAACCGGTTTCGTCTACTCTGAAGAATGCGTTCAAGACGTTCGCACATCAGATTAGCATCAAACTCGATAACAATAACTTTCTCTCATGGAAGCAGCACGTCGAAGGTATCATTCGCATTCACAAGCTTCATCGGCATTTGGTGAATCTGGTGATTCCTCCACGTTTTCTCACGACGGCGGATCGTGAATCTGACTCTGAAAATCCGGCGTATCAGGTTTGGTATCAAGAGGATTCTCTTCTCTTTATGTGGCTTCTAACGTCTCTCTCTGATGTCGTTCTTCCTCGCGTCGTCAAGTGCATTCATGCTCATGAAGTGTGGTCCGTCATCGATCAATTTCAGAGAACACAGATCTATGCGAAATCGCGTCAGCTTAGGTATGAGCTTCGTACTATGCAAAAAGGAGATCGTACGATTGCGTAGTTTCTCGGTCGCATTCAACAAATCGTAGATATCTTGGAGTCAATTGGTGATCTGGTGTCACACCGTGATCAATTGGAAACAATCGTCGACGGTTTACCACCGGAGTATCAAGCCCTAGCTACGATTATTCAGTATCGTGACGAACCTTGTGATATTGTTGTTGCTGAAACGATGCTTCTTTCTCATGAAGCAAGGCTGGATCGTACTCCTCGTGCTGCATCTCAAGATTCTCTCTCTGTTAATCTCACTCAAGGTACTGTGTCTCCTGCTGCTAACTCTACTGTTGCTACCTTGGTTGAGTCCACTACACCTGAATCTGCACCACAGTTTGAGCATTCTCATGGTAGACGTGGTGGCAGATCATCTCACTCTAGAGGAGGAGGTCGTAATGGTGGCAGAAGTCGTGTTCAATGTCAGATTTGTGCTAAAACTGGTCATGATGCTAAAGTCTGCTACTATAGACTTGCAGTTCAACCTTCCAATTAAAATCAGTGGCATGCTCCTATGGTGCCTATACCTTCTCCCTGGTTTCAAGGTGCCTCTTCTCAACAAGCTGCTAATCAGTGGATTGCACCACAGTTTGTTCTGTGGCGTGCCCCTGCTGCTGCTGCGAGACCAGATAAACAACCATAAGCTTATTTAGCTGGTTCACAAACATGTACCAGTCAACCGGCAACATCTCCTTGGTATCTAGATTCAGGAGCCACTCATCATGTCACTCACTCTGTAGAGAATTTTCTAGACAACATTTCCACCTCTGGATCTGACCAAGTGATTCTTGGCAATGGTCAAGGTCTGTCTATTACCTCTATTGGTAACACTCCTTTTCACTCACCACACATTACACTCACACCGAAAAATTTGCTGCTAGTGCGATCACCAAGAATCTCATCTCTGTTAGCCAATTTGCCATGGATAATCAAGTTTATTTTGAACCTGCCTTGTGAAATCTCAGGCTGCTTCTGAAGTTGTGCTTCAAGGTGCTCTTGGAAAAGATGTACTCTACTTTGGATCTTTACAGGCTTTATCTTCTCCCTCTGCTAGAAATAATGCACCTGTTGTTCACACACTCACTAGCAATAATTTTGATTCCAGTACTTTCAATTCTAGCTCAAATAAAGGTGGCAATTGTTTAGGGCCTTCATTGTATGAGCAATGGCATAGAAGACTAGGACATCCTCATCATGAGGTCCTTAAGTCTGTTTTAAACAACTGTAACCTTCCTATTCCGCAACAATCTAAGTTTAATTTTTGTGTTGCATGCTGTTTGGGTAAGGTACACAGGCTACCATCTACTGCTTCCACTACCACTTATAATGCTCCATTTGATCTTATTTTTGCTGATGTGTGGGGGCTTGCACCTATGTTGTCTACTACTGGTTTCAAATATATGCTCACATGTGTTGATGCACACACTAAATTTACATGGATCTTTCTACTCAAACTGAAATCTGATGTCGTTTCAGTTTTTACTAATTTTCTGGCATATATCCATACTCAGTTCAATTGCACTGTCAAGATAGTGCAAACTGATGGAGGAGGTGAATTTCAGCCTCTCACACCTTTACTCACTAAACAGGGCACCATACACAGGCTTACATGCCCTCACACACACCATCAAAATGGGTCTGTTGAAAGAAAACACAGGCATGTGGTGGAAACTGGTTTCACCTTGCTTGCTCATGCATCCCTTCCCTTAAAATTTTGGGATCATGCATTCTTAGCAGCAACTTATCTTATTAACAGGATGCCAAATTCTGATTTTGGTATGGATTCTCCCTACAAAGTTCTGTATCAGACTGAACCTGACTACATCTTTTTTAAAATCTTTGGGTGTGCCTGTTATCCACACCTCAGACCCTATAACTATAATAAGTTTGCTTATCATACTAAGGAGTGCTTATTTTTAGGGTATTCTGATCAACATAAGGGATACAAATGCTTGACTGCTGATGGTAGACTCTTTATCTCAAAGGATGTAATATTTAATGAGATAAGATATCCTTATTTGGATATGTTCCCTACTAAATCTGCATTAACTCCTTGTCCCCAACCTGTTTCTGTGCTTGTTCCCTTTTGTTTTTCCCAGCCATCTCAAAACCTAACACATATCCCATCTTCCTCTACATTTGCTTCTCCTGCACTCACTTCCCCTGCAATTAGCTTTCCTGCTTCTGCATCTGTCCAGGAATGATCTGCTTCTCCTCTTTCTACTTCAGGATCACCACAGCAAATGTCTAACACTCTGCATTCTTTTCCCGATCACTCCAACAATTTTTCATCTTCTACTGCGTCCTCATCTCATGCTGCCTCCTCTGCTAATGTATCTGCTTCTCCCATCATTCTTGCTCATCCTTTTAATGTTCACCCTATGCTCACTCGTGCCAAGGATGGCATTGTAAAACCTAGACTCCATCCTACTCTTTTACTCACTGAGTTTGAACCTACATCCTATAAAGCTGCTCTCAAGGATCCCAAATGGCTTGAAGTCATGATAGCTGAGCACACAACTCTTCTGCACAATCAGACTTGGACTCTTACCACTTTACCTCCCAACAGGAAAGCTATTGGGTGCAGATGGGTCTTAAGGATAAAGCAGAATCCTGATGGCACCATTCAGAAATACAAGGGCAGGTTAGTGGCCAAGGGGTTTCATCAGGTTCATGGCTTTGATTTTCAGGAGACATTCTCTCCTGTAGTCAAACCAGTCACAATTAGAGTTATTTTAACTCTTGCTATCTCCAACCAGTGGCAGATCACTCAATTGGATGTCAACAATGCCTTTTTAAATGGTATTTTGACTGAAGAAATCTATATGCAGCAGCCCCTTGGGTTTGTCAACTCTGATCCTACCCTTGTTTGTAAGCTAAACAAGGCTATCTATGGCTTAAAACAAGCCCCTAGGGCCTGGTTTGAGAGAGCTCTTCACAGTCTTGGCTTTGTCACCAGTAAATGGGACCCCTCTCTGTTTACTTTGACAACCTCCTCATACACCATTTTTATGTTAGTGTATGTAAATGATATAATTGTCACAGGCAACTCTCACTCATATCCAAAAGCTGGTGAATCAATTACATGCTCAATTTTCTCTTAAACAGTTGGGTTCTCTTCATTATTTTCTTGGTATTGAAGCCACTCAACTCTCTAATGGTACTCTCTTCCTATCTCAAACTAAGTACATCAAGGATCTCTTGGTTAAGACTAACATGAGTGAAGCTAAAAGTTTGCCTACTCCTATGGTGTCTAATCTGAAACTGACCAAGCAAGGATCAGACTATTTGCCAGACCCCACTTATTATAGGTCTGTGGTTGGAGCACTGCAGTATGCTACCAACACAAGACTTGAAATTAGCTTTTCTGTCAACAAAGCTTGTCAGTTTCTATCTCAGCCTATGCAGAGTCATTGGGTGGCTGTTAAGAGAATTCTGAGATATCTCAGAGGCACCATTCATCATGGTCTGCACTTTCTTCCTGCAAATCCCCTCAAACCTTTGCCAATTACTGCTTTTTCTGATGCTGACTAGGGATCAGATCCTGATGACAGGAAATCTACATCAGGTTCATGCATTTATCTAGGCCCTAATCTCATTTCTTGGTGGTCTAAAAAGCAGACACTTGTAGCCAGATCCAGCACTGAGGCTGAATACAGAAGCATGGCTAGCACTGCTTCTGAAGTGCTTTGGGTACAGTCTCTCCTAACTGAGTTGCAGATTTCATCTTTTCCTCCAACTCTCTACTGTGATAACTTAAGTACTGTATCTCTGTCTCATAACCCTGTGATGATATCCTAACCAAACCCCTTTCTGCCCTCAGATTTCTTGCTCTCAGAGATCACTTAAGGGTTGTTGACAAGTCTTCTATTGCCAATGGGCATCCCAAGACAGGAAGCACCATTTGAAGGGGAAATAATAGAGTAATCATATAGCTGTTTGTTTATAATAGTTAATTGTAGTTTGTAATAGATATATTCTACAGTTAGCTTAGCTTAGCTTGATGAGCTGGCAGTGACAACTGTCACTGCAACCTCTATATAACAATCTAATTGTAACAAACTCATCTAAGAGAGTTTCTATTGAATCAATAACAAACTATTATTTTCTCTCTATGTTCAGTTTATCTTTCTCTATTAAGAGTGTGTGTTGAGGGTCCCATATCAAATGAGACGTTACTTGAGAGTGTGTATAAGGGTAGTCTTCACCTTATCAGTTTAGTTAGGATTTGCTTGGGAGTTGGTTTTTGAAGGGTTTTGGAGGAGAAGGCTTTGGAGGGCGGCTCCGTTTATATCTTAAAATGTATTTGATATTTTTAAAAAGTTTTAAAAACAGTATACTACATTAACATATAAAATCATATTGTTTTTTTGAAATATCAAATACATTGCAAGATATAGACGTAACCCTCCAAAGTCTTCTCCAAAATCCTCCAAAAACCAACTCGCAAACAGACCCTTAAGATTAAGCTAGAGCCCAACTCAAATTCTAATATCATCCAATGAATATATATGTTTGACATATCACTTCACTTTTATGACTGCATTTTCAAATCTATATGGCCGATAAACTCTATTTTTATTCAATTCATTTCAGTTCACTTTTCCCCATCATGTTACATTCTATTTTAATCTTACCAAGTAACAATGTATAAACTAGTTTTATTAAGTTCATTCAGATCTTAATGTTACTGTTTAAAAACTTGTTTGCGTTGTGCCAATATAGTGAAATATGATTTCAAACTTGTTTACATAGTTGGAATAGCCAACTATGGTTCAACAACAATATAAAACTTATTCCTCCAGTAGGTGTTTGGTTATTTAACTCAATCTCAGATTTGTAGGTACTGATTTGTTTAGTTGATCTGAATCATATTCTTATACCAGAACCACTTTATGTTCATATATATAAATAAATGTCATGGTTGTCATTCATGAGCCCGTTTGTTCTTTTTAAATTGATATTTGTTATATTGTTTTTGCTACTATGCCTATTTTAGGTTCAGTGTGTTTGTAGTCTCCCTTCTCTTAGTACGAGTGAGGTTTGTTTTGATAATTGCTGCATGCTTTCAAAATCTTATTGATCAAGCATTAATTTATATTTGATGAGAATGTACATTGACTTTGCATATACAGAACCTCGGAACTTGTGGAAGCAGTTATGCAAGGGAAGAATGGGACAGTTTTCTGTTATGGTGCCACTGGAGCTGGAAAAACATACACAATGCTTGGTACTGTGGAAAACCCGGGAGTGATGGTGTTGGCAATTAAGGATCTCTTCAGTAAAATCAGGATCAGAAGCTATGATGGAAACCATGTAGTTCATCTGTCCTATCTTGAGGTTTATAATGAAACTGTAAGAGATTTGATTTCACCTGGAAGGCCTCTTGTTTTGAGAGAAGATAAACAGGTCCACATTTTCTTATCTTCATGCCTTCTGAGTGAAATGTTATGGTACCTACTACTTCATGTATTTGAAATAGAATGAATGATTTTTCCGTGCTATTCTTACTTGATGCCAGCATCAATAAAAATTTGATAAGGATTCCAAGTTGATGCATTATTTATAGATTATAGTCTGCCTTGTGACCACTGCAACACATCAAATTATAATTGAAAACCGCATCGTTATGCTATAGTAGGCCTCAGTAACTGCAATTCACCCACAACTGCTGCAATACCTTAGCATGTGCAATTTAAAATCTTTAGTTCATGTTGTCTCGTCATCTACAGCTCAACACTAGGTGTAAGGATTTATTTTTTTCTTACAGGTCATGAATACTATTGAATTAGGAGAGACTAAGAGACATTTAGGTTAAACCGTGTGTTATGAAAGCACTACGGAGACTTTATTATATATAGAGAGATTATAACTAATTACACTATATAATAATTACACTATATAATCGATGTGGGACTATTCTACATACAAATATTCTTAATATTATATATTTACATATATCAACACTCCTCCTCAAGCTGGAGCATACAAGTCAAATGCACCAAGCTTGCCACATATATAATTAGTTCCGAGGCTTCGCAGAGATTTTGTGAACACATCTGCCAATTGATCATTAGAGTTGACAAAGCTTGTGACGATGTCGCCAGATTCAATCTTCTCTCTGACAAAGTGACAGTCTATCTCAATATGTTTGGTCCTCTCATGGGAGACTGGATTTGAAGCAATGTGCAATGCAACTTGATTGTCACATACAAGTGTCATTGGTCTTGCTTCTTCAATTTTAAGTTCTTTGAGCAACTGTTTTAACCAAATGAGTTCACATGTTGCCATTGCCATGACCCTATACTCTGTCTCGGCGCTTGATCTTGCAACTACATTTTGTTTCTTACTTTTCTAGGATATAAGGTTTCCTCCAACAAGTACACTAACCCAGAGGTGAATCGTCTATCAATTGGTGATCCTGCCCAATCAGCATCAGAGTATCCAACTATCTGAGCATGTCCTTTATCTTCATACACTGAACCTTTTCCTGGAGCAAATTTGATGCATCTTAGAATCCGGATAACAGCATCCATGTGTTCCTGACAAGGGGAATTTAAGAACTGGCTTACCACACTGACTGCAAAAGAAATGTCTGGACGAGTGACTGTGAGATAATTCAACTTTCCAACCAATCTCCTATACCTTTGAGTCTGATAGAGGCTCCCCTGATTGGGTAGTAGTTTGACACTTGGATCCATATGAGTATCAACTGATTTAGCGTTCAACAAACCTGTTTCTTCCAAAATATCATAGCATATTTTCGCTGAGAAATCACCAAACCATCTTTAGATATGGCTACCTCAATACCCAAGAAATACCTGAGTTTACCAAAATCCTTTGTCTGAAATTGATTTGAAAGATGTTGTTTCAACTGGAGTACTCCCGACTCATCACTACCAGTTATGACAATATCATCTACACACAATAAGATAAATACACCCTTGGACTGAGTGACGATAAAAGACAGAATGGTCAGCTTCACTACGGACCATACTAAATTGTTGTACTACAATGCTTAATCTGCCAAACCAAACTCTCGAAGATTGCTTAAGACCATAAAGAGACCTGTGTAGCCTACAAACCATATTCGATGACTCCCCCTGAACAACAAACCCAGGTGGTTGCTCCATATATACTTCCTCTTCAAGATCACCATGTAAAAATGCATTTTTGATGTCAAGTTGATGAAGAGGCCAATGTCGAATGGCTGCAATGGCTAGAAGTCTAACATATGCCATCTTGGCTACAAGCGAGAAGGTATCACTATAATCCAACTCAAAAATCTGAGTGTATCCCTTGGCTACCAAGCGAGCTTTAAAACGATCAATCTTACCATCTGGACCAACCTTCACTGTATAAAGTCAACAACAACCTACTAAAGATTTTCCAGTGGGTAGAGGAACCAGTTCCCAGGTACCACTGCTTTGAAGAGCACACATTTCATCAATCATTGCTTGCCTCCACTCAGGATGAGATAATGCTTCACCTGGAGATTTAGGAATAGAAACAGAAGACAAAGAGGACAAACAAGTATACTGCAAAGGGGAAAGACGATGATAACATAAATCAATATAATGTGGAGAAAGATTTCTTGTTTGACGTATACCTTTGCGAAGGACAATCGGAAGATCAGACTCGGGTTGCAGGATCGAATTCGGTGATGGCGATAGCGTCGGAGGAGAGTCTGGCGCCGGTCAGGGACATGTACAACCTCAGGGACAAGTATGACAGACGTTGGTTTACGACGCTGATATGTTTGAAGTGGGCGAGAAGTGGGGGGGTCAACCGTAGGGGTTTCTCGTGGGACAGGTTCCCTAGAATGATGGGGAATAATGGGAAATGGGACGTCTAGAAGAGGTGTGGGAGTACTTTCCTAAAGGGGTTCCAGAGTGACTTGGGTGGACGCAAAAAATGGCACAGACTCGAAGAAGGTAACATCGGCCGATATCAGGTATCGTTGCAGAGTGTGTGCGTAGCAACGATAACCCTTTTGGGACCGATGATAACCAAGAAAGACACACTTTAGTGATCGAGCTGATTGTTTATCAAGATCAGGGGAGAGATTATGCACAAAACATGTAGACCCGAAGACTCGAGGAGGAATTGGGTGAAGAGGAGAGTTTGGAAACAAGATTGAATGAGGGATTTTATTATTAAGGACAGATGAGGGCATGCAGTTTATGAGATAACACGCCATGAGTACAACATTCCCCCAAAATCTGAGAGGGACATTACCATGGAGAAGTAGAGTCCGAGTGGTTTCTACGAGATGTCGGTTTTTGCGTTCGGCTACCCTATTTTGTTGAGGTGTATGAGGGCAAGATGTTTGGTGTAGAATACCATTGGATGACATAAAAGTTTGAAATTATTGGGATAAATATTCACGTGCATTGTCACTTCTTAAGGTACGAATAGACAAACCAAATTGGGTTCATATTTCTCGATAAAATTGTTCAAAAATAGAAAACAATTCAGATCTGTTTTTCATTAAAAATAGCCACGTGCAACGTAAAAAATCATCAATAAATGTTACAAAATACCTAGACTCAAAAGTAGACACAGTACGCGATGGACCCCAAACATCGGAGTGAACTAAAGCAAAAGGGGACGCAACCCGTTTATTGACTCGATCAGGAAAGTGACTACGGGTATGTTTTCCTAATTGACAATACTCACACTGTAAAGTGGATAATTTAGATAAACTGGGCACCAACTTTTGTAGCTTGGGAAGACTTGAATGACCTAACTGCGAATGTATAATGAGTGGAGAATCTGTTGTGGAGCATGTGGTAGATGACGTAGAGAAGTAGTAGAGGTCTTGAGACTCACATCCGACGCCAATCGTCTGTCCCGAACTTCGATCCTGCAGAATAACATCACTGTTAGTAAAAGTGATAGAACAATTAAGGGAACGAGTTAAACGACTGACTGATAGTAGATTAAATGGGCAATTAGGTACATATAGGACAGAAGTAACAGAGAGATGGTAGAATTTGAACAGTACCGATCCCTTGGGATCAGGTTTGAGAACCATTTGCGGCAGTTATACTCGGTAAGAAACCAGAGGTAGAAAGGGAAGAGAAAAGATTTTTATTACCGGTAACATGATCAGACGCACCAGAGTTGAGGACCCAAGGACCAAGAGGAGATTGATTGAGAGACGCAAATAGATGAATTACCAGTGTGTGCAATCGAAGTCGTGGAACCAGAGGTCTGGTTAGTCTGACACCACCTGAGAAAATCCTCGTAGCTTGGTGTAGGATTCTGAAGAGAAGGTGAAGTCTGCATAGTGTCTGGGTTATCAATTTGAGTTGTATTTACCTGCCGTGGAGGTTTGCCATGCAACTTCCAGCAACGATCGATAGTATGTCCAAGCCGATTACAATGGTCACACTTAGGACGAGGGTTGGAGTTGGATGACCCTCCTCGAAGGCGATTCTGATTGTTGTCAAGAGATGCAAGAGCAGCAGTGTCACCTGGTGTTAGAATAGCAATAGATGGAGGAGAAACCGGGCCAAACGTATAAGGTGTAGCCAAGCGCAACAAATCTTCACTAACTGTATCATAGTTAGGAACAGTAGTATCGGATAAAATCTGGTTACGAACAAATTCGAGTTCTGATGGTAGTCCTTTATGGTAGTCCTCTGTTGTTCGGCATGAGCTATTGCATCTTTTGCGTAAGGCATGAGGGTTGCGTAACTTGCTTTCAAGGCATCCAGCTTACTCAGATAAGCTTGCACATCCATATTTTCCAACTTCAGTGTGTTGAGTTTGTGGATGACACAGAGAATGAACGTCGTTGGAAAAGACTTTCTTGGCCTTTTGCCACACCTCATAACAAGTGGAGAATGCTTGGTACTGCGCTTGGGGGTTAGGTGCTATGGAAAACCACAACACAGTACACAAAGAGGCATCAATTTTCTTCCATTTAGCGAGTTTGACGGCTGCAACTTCACTCAATTGGGTGGTTAGATGCTCTTCATATCCTTGACCGTGAAACCACATCTCGACAGCACGAGTCCATATGTTGTAGTTGGCTGATCCGGTTAGTTTTTCACATGGGATAAGCGGAACTTTAGTAAACGAGATAGAATCAGCATCTCCCGTGGCTTAAAACACAACAACTGGGGCTGTTTGAACAAGAGTACGACTTTGTGAGTCGAAAACGAAAACCGAGGGCGGATCTGGAACCGGAGGAGGAAGGTGATTTTTCGGGGGAATTTTTTTTTCTTGAACAGTAGCGGCGCCGATGAACAGTGGCGTCAGCGGTGAACAGTAGTCCTCCGAATTTTTTTCCCGTGGACTGTGCTTGGTGGAGGTCGCTGAAAAAAATTTAAAAAAAAAAGGTGAGGCAAACCGGAATGATGACACGGTTTGCAGAAGAAAATTTCTCACCGGAAGATAGTGGGTCAACCGGGTAAAACACGACGAAGAATTGCCTCTTAGGAGACTCTAGATACCATATTGAATTAGGAGAGACTAAGAGACATTTAGGTTAAACTGTGTGTTATGAAAGCACTACGGAGACTTTATTATATATATAGAGATTACAACTAATTACACTATATAATCGATGTGGGACTATTCTACATACAAATATTCTTAACATTATATATTTACAAATATCAACAAATACAAACTCAATCTTAACAGTGAAGGCAATAGTTTATATTATATTACACCTTATTATTCACACTGTTTCAAATCTCCACCCAGTCAAGATAAAATATATGGAAAATGAATTTTTGGTGGGAAAGAAATTGGTTGCTAAATTAACTCTCTTGTTTTCATTGCATCCCGTTGTATCACTATCTGATGGTACATTGTCTAATTATGTTATAGGGGATTGTGGCAGCAGGTCTTACGCAATACAGAGCTTACTCCACCGATGAAGTAATATCCCGAACCATTCTCGTATTTTGAAAGTTTAGACCGAACCATTCTCGTACGTTGAAAGTTTAGACGGTTGTTTGAACCCTCAGAGATGATTTTTGTTTTACTTTGTTCCTTCTACTTCAGGTGATGGCATTGCTTCAGCAGGGAAATCGTAATAGAACTACGGAACCAACTCGTGCAAATGAAACATCTTCACGTTCTCATGCTGTTTTGCAGGTACACTTTTGAAGGTTGTTTATGGAAAATAATGCAAAAACCCTTTTATGCTGTGATTGTAACGTATGCTTAATTATTTTTTACATTTAGGTTGTGGTTGAATACCGAGTTAGAGATGCTGCAATGAATATTATTCACAGAGTGGGCAAACTTTCATTGATTGATCTTGCAGGGTCAGAGAGAGCTCTTGCCACAGATCAAAGAACACTTAGGTCTCTTGAGGGTGCCAACATTAACCGGTCTCTTCTTGCACTAAGCAGCTGCATCAATGCTCTTGTAGAGGGCAAGAAGCACATTCCATACCGAAATTCTAAACTAACCCAGCTTCTCAAAGATTCATTAGGAGGAACTTGCAACACCGTCATGATTGCAAACATAAGCCCGAGTATCCTCTCATTTGGTGAAACTCAAAACACCCTTCATTGGGCTGATAGAGCAAAGGAGATTCGAACAAAGGTCGATTCTTCTAACCATTTCAAGCATAGTATGCGTGTATATATTAATATTTTGGTTTTCTAGGGTGATACAGTTAGTTGCTTGTACAATGTTCGCATTTTTGTCTTTTTAAAAAAAAATCCATTTGGTGTCAAATATATCACAACCCAGTGAATGTACTAGGTATTCCACTCTATTGATGCTGCAGCCTATTATATATGGATGCAGGCACCTGATGCAAACGAGGATATATTACCGGTACCTAAAACAGAAAAAGACCAGGCAAAGCTGATACTTGAGCTACAAAATGAGAATCGTCAATTGCGAGTTCAGCTAGCACGCCAAAAACAGATGCTTTTGAAACTCAAAGCACAATCCTTGGCTGCATATTCTTCCCCAACACCACCATCAGCTTCATCTTTTCTTTCCACACCTCCAACCTCTATTCAACCAAATGAAAAACAAAGGACAAGACCTTCTGCCACGTATCTCACCCCAAAGACCGAGAACAAGGGGGAGGAGACAGCCTTCACTGTCGGAACACTTTATCAAAAAGTAAAAGCCCTGGAGTCAGAGATAGTGAGAATGAAAAAGGATCACAGTTTGATGATAAAGCAGAAAGATGATGTTATTTGTGAGCTTTTACAAAAGAGTGGGAAAAAAGTAACAGCAGCCGGGGAAGTGGGGAATAGAGTGGTAACCAGGTCTAGCATACGGCCAAAGGTTGAAAACACAGGTGAGCTAAGGAGTCCAAGTCACCGTTTTCATTCACCACTACAAATGGCCAAGAAACGAAGCTTTTGGGACATAACTGCTGCTAACAGCCCATCAGTTACTGCATTAAATGGAAGAAAAACTAGAAGCCATATCACTTCTGAACCTACTGCCCATCCTCCATCCATGCTTCTTAAGGTCTGGTGTTTCTTTTTTCTCAACTATGAAAACATTTTCACATCTTTCAACTATTGTGTCATGTGTCACAAACAGGTCTTAAGCACTAACATTTCTAGAACATACTTGAAACACTTGTGTAAAACCCCTTAACAATATCTCAAAATATATAATTTTTCAGCTCAGATGCTTCTTTGACACGGCTTTGGTACGGGCCAAGAGAATGAGCCGACCCCTAGTTTGAGTGAATACTTCTTAGTTACTCTTAATTCCTAACACAAAAAAATATATAGCTATATAAAAATGTTAAGTTAATTATTTTTGTAAGGACTTGATTGCAAAATGATCCATTAATTAGTCTTGGTTATTATTTTTCGAGGATTATTATCTTGTTAGAATTGTATATTATCTTATGATCATTTTCATCAGATTTCATGTGAAAATAAGTTTAATAACTTTCTGTTTAGAAAGTGAAATCTTATTTCTAATTTTGATTTTGCTATGTTAATATGCACACACTTATGGGCATGTATGGTATCTAAAGGTCCTATATTTTTGGACATTAACTGTGCTACAATGTCTATATCAGTGGTGTGTCCAATGCACACACATGGTTGAGTCTGTATCAGTGGCGTGTCCAATGCCAGTGGTTAAGTCACTGCTTCGTAGGTCCCAACTCCTTACATTTTTATACTTGCTTATATGAATGATAAATTGATAGGAAACATCACAAATAAGTGTCTTTTCATAGATTGTAAGGTCCAACTGAAAGATGATGGTTCTTAATTGCATTGCATGGTTGAAATCCTTTTTACCAATTTAACGTAACGGTTTTTTCCTTGCATTTTTCAGCCAGGGTTTGCTAAGGAAAAGGGAAACATTTGGAAGTGATCTAAGAAGGAGTAGAAGAAATTTAAGGACAGAATAAAGCCCATATGAAGGTCTGGTATTGTTTTAAGACCTTGAACTGGCTGCGGCACACAAAATATGGATGAGATCATTGCCAAGGGTCTCATTGTGTAAATGAGTTATAGGAGGATCATTGGCTTTTTATGCTTAATCAATAGTAGCAGGACTAGAGGGTGCTTTTTTACATGCTTTATTCACAGATTTAGATTCCATGCAGTCAAAGCCTCATCGATACATGCATTCAACGGTGCAGGATTTTGATATATTAAAAAAAAATTGAAATGCCTCCATCGATTTTGACTGCATACAATACAACAAGATTATCATTATGAACAAGAATTATAAGTGTTATCTTATTTCATTTGAGTTGGTATGTTAACATTCCATCTCACCAATTTCAACAAGATCATCATTATGAACAAGGATTAAGTTTTGAAATGAGAAGTTTCTCGTTAGTATTGGCAGGATTAAAATAGGTTTAATTATATTCTTTTATGGTGTATTTGTTTGAAGTAAGGTGAGAGGATAGATAGTGGAAGGAGGGAAAGCACATACATCAATATCCTTCCTTTGTTTGGATCTCTCATAAACTAGAAGGAATGATCACTTTTTGCTGGGCTCCATATAAAATGACTTTCCTTGCTAAATTGAGAGGAAAACGGAACAATAGCATCAAAATTGTTTGAAAATACAATTGTGCTCTTAGGCTTGTTTGAAAATCTCAATGTTACCTATCATTTTAAAATGTTTTACTTATTATCTCATACTATTTTGCTTGTTTGAAAATCTCAAATTTACCTATCATTCTAAAATGTCTTACTTTTTTCTCATACTATTTTATATGTAGCTGTATACTTATTTATATGACCAATCCGTACCATAAATATGTTGCATTTTTGTTTAATATTTATATTGTTTTTTGTTATATTTATTTTTGTTTAAGGTTAATTTTTTTAACCTGTTTACCATCGAAAGTAAATATAAATAAATACCGCTGTCAGAGTTGAGCTCTGGACTCAACTCTGGACCAATAGCCTACACCTTTTTAACTCAATTAACAATTAGCAATTGTTTAAGGTTAATTCAGTCCTTTTATAAATATACATTTTTTTTTAACAAAACAAAATTATGATTTCTCATTCATAATCAAGAGTTCAATATAAGGAGGAATTACATGAATAACACTACGTCGAGTCTAAGAATTGATCGCCTTCGCTAACGAATGGACAACTATATTCGATTGACTTTTAACAAACTTGACCTCAAAGTTGGAAAAATTATTTAGTAACAACTTGATATCACTAATTATAGAATAAAATTTGGACATTCCTACGGTAACAAATTGAAAGGCTTGTATCACTCTAAGAGAGTCACTTTCAAACATAATCCGATCAAGATTTAAAGAAATAACACTTTTAATAGCTTCCTTGAGGGCTAAAGCTTCCGCTTTAAGAATCGAAAGGTTATCTAGATCCCACGCCACTCTTGTTGTGATAAAGTTACTGATCTCATCTCTAAGGCACCAACTTCTATTTGTTGTACCTCAACTAACATTAAAACCCGCATCCAAGTTGCACTTTAACCACCCACTAGGAGGCAGGTTCCAATAAAGACTTTGTTGTTACCCATTATTATTACCATGAACATGTTGCGCTAAAAACCATTCCCTCCATTTATGATATGCAAGTCAGTCAATTTTGGAACCGTCTTCATGCTCATCATTACATTTTTATTTTGCACATTTTTTTTTAAAACTTTTACCTTTCTGTGATGCGGTGGGAGAACTGACTTGATTGTTTTGCGTTTGATCGCAAATGTCGCAGTTAGCAAGAGTCGTCACCGACTTTTCTTTTATCCAAAAGGAAAGGTGAAAAAGCACAGGAAAAACCTTTGAGATTGTTTCTTGAGTTCGAGGGGTAGATTATGAAAATAGAAGGTATTAACACTCTTTTCATCCATGATTTTCCATGGACTCTTAGTTACTTGCTAGATCACTTGCTTTTGTTTGAAATTGTACTTTGTATGGTTTTGAAAGTATTTTGTAAAAGAGACCATTGTTTAGACAATCTTTGTAATGATTCTCGTTCGTAAGAATGTATACAAAGATATTTGTCTTTTTTGAAAATGTTTTCAATATTTGTAAGATGTTTTTGAAAGTGTAGGTGTTTTTTTTAAAATAGAAAGGATATTTGTTTGAAATGGAGCAAGTAACTAAAAACAATCTACCTACTCAAATGTCTTTCTTGTTCATTTTTCTTTTCCTTTGACATTGTTGTCTTACCATTGATTTGGTAAGAAATCCTATCTTTGGATATAAACGGGACGAGCGTGGGTCATCGTATGGTCATGATTAGCAATGTTGAAAAGTATCTTAGCATTTTGAGGGACTAAGATCATTTTTGTAAGGCAACTTTGAATAGCGTCATCGAGGGACCATGATCTTGTTTTTGTTTGTTTTTGTTAAGACACTTTACATGCGTAACATGACCATTTTGTATAAGGCAACCAAGTGGGATAACCCTAAGGGTGCTAGTGTGCAAGTGTGTTTGATTGCATGCATTTTAGTCTTGATTAGGGTGATCTATTTGTCAATTTTATGTCTTGCCATACACACCCTAATTACTAGCATTATATGAAAGCAATAAAAAGTGCAAAAAAAATAAAGATTCTACGCTATTACAATCATTGGGGGGTGGGGTGTACAAATTTACAAATGGGGATTGCAAATAAAATTAAGTCCTAAGTTACTATTACAACCATATTGAATGGATAAGAATGTACAAGAAAATGTGAAGTGGACTTGTTTTGTTTAAGAAAAGAAATAAGTTTTGTTTAAGAAAATATTTTTGATCTTGTTGTAAAATGTTTTTGGTGTTTTTGATTAATGAAAAATAAAGTTGATGGTAAAAAGTAACAAAGAGAAGGAAGGCAGGATCGACGCCAAATGCTGAAATAGGAGAGTTCATAAGTTCTGACTTTGACGTACTGCACAAACAGAAACAACGTTAATAGAAATAGGGAAGGTCAGAAGTTCTGGATCCGCTGGGAATAAAGAAGTTTTCAGAAGTTCTGATGCCACTGACAGTACTTCGTCTCCCTCTCCATGCTAGTCAGAACATCTGCAACTTAGTCATTTCTTAACAGAACATAAATTACACATATAACAGTCATGACAAGTTTCATAATGTTTCAGAAGCAAGAAATATCAGCAATATAGATCAGAAGCAAACATGAATTTGCTAATCCTAATTCTGAGTCCTAATTTCTTCATGAAGCTTCTGAACTAGAATTCCCTCTACTTAGGCAGGCAGATGCGTGAAATCTCAGAATATGTACATCATCAGAATCAGAATATCTACATTGTATTTTAAACATGCAAAATCTGATAATGCCTAAGTAATATGATGAGAGTCAACAAAAGCTTACCTTGCAGCAGGAAAAGATTCTGTGAACTGGAGGTTGGTCCTGAACTCTGGTGATGTTCTGAACAACTTCTTCACGTACTCAGCAGGTTGGAAGTTTTCAGCTTCTGGAACAACCAATGGGTGATGTTATGATTTCTTTGAGGTGGAGGTGGATGGAGAGTGTATTGCAGTATGAATACAGAAGTTAAAATAACTTCTAATATGTGAATCAGAAACTGTGTGGATGATTTTAGTCAAGAAACGCTTGAGAATAAATGGAGTTCAAAATTTAACAGGTTTTGTATGTTGTGTTTACAGTTTTTGGACTCTTGGAATTTTAGCAGGGATTCCGGGCTTTTCTTTCTCAAATTTCCGAGCCTTTTACAGTGGTCAATGGCTTTCAATTTATAGGAAAAGATCTTGCAACCATCACATGCTAGGGTGCTGCCTTGCTGTTGAAGCAAGTATGGTGGTTAGTAGCCTTAGCAGCGCCTAAGCTGGAATTGTAAGCAGAAATTAAGGAAAAGTAACTTTCAAAGCAAAAGTAACGCATGGGCCAGCACACTTTTATACAAGAGTTTGCTTTTCCAAGACAGTAAAGGTACTTCTATGCCACACGTGGAGAAATCCTTTGAAAAAAGACCCATAAGTGGTTGTGAGCATTAAATGATGATGAGATTGATCAACCCATAAATCCTGCGATGTGATATTCTGCATCATTTCTTAGTTCTGGATCAGAAGTTCAGCTTCAGTGTGACTTAGAATAGACAATCAACTTCTGATCCTTGAATCCCTTTGCTCCACCATGTTCTGAAGGAACTCTCAGACTTCCCAGGAAGCTTGTAGCACACTTTGTAACCTTCTTAGAATTGCCCTTGCAAACTCTGACTGAACCTTTATGAAAACTAGCCCAAAAGTTCTGACCCAACTCTGTCTTGAAAGTGTCTAGAGTTTGTTGAGTGCTTTAGTTTCATGGACGTGTCTTTGAACATTTATAACTTGAAATTCCAGCATTTCCAGGAGAAGTTCTGTTCTTCAATGTTTTAGATCTTGTTGAAATCTATAACTTTTGTGCCAAAAGTTCTTCCAGAATCAACTTGCATCATGGTGATAATCTGATCAGAAGTTCTGAGCTTGTCATATTTCTTACACTTAGAAAAATTCTAAGTATTTAGAATTTTGACTTTTGAATTTCTTGATGAAACAAACTTCATATTTTAACGTGTCTTGATGATACATGATTCTTGAAGCTTGATTTTGATCCAAAAGTCAAAGTTTGACTTTTTAGTGCGCAAATGACCATTTTACCCTTATGAATGGCTTTCTTGGAAAATTTGTAATTCATGGTTTGAAATTGGATGGAAGCAAACTTGAGAGTCCAGGTTGATCCTTTGAGAAATGAGAGGGCAAATTTTGGGGTACAACAATTGCCCCTATTCAATCTTTTTAAGCCTGAGGATGTAGATTGGCTGGTCTGCCTTTCATGATCTGAAGGCGGAAGATGATTGAACACTAGAGTGTCCAGAAATTTGCACTCGTATGAAGTAATGCTGATTGGTGATGTCAGGAATGGGCTTA